GTCGTATAAAAAGTCAGAAGTAGAAATTACATTGAGGTCCATAAATCATCTAGCGACGATCACAAGCACTGGAGCAAGACAAAGGCGCGGCGCTGTCATCGCCCTTCATCACCGGAGCCAGACAAACATTTTTTAATAGACAGTCGTAAAGTCGTCATGCTAAGACCCTAGAGGACCAACACACCAAAGCAGCAACCGCTGTCGATGAGGAGAAGCGTAGATCGGAATGATCCAACCTGTAGACACACAAACGTAGACGAATGGAGATCGGATCCAAGCGGATCTACCAAAGACAAACGCCGAATGAATCCCGCGAGATCCGCCCGAGACAAACCTCCACACGCCCTCAGACGTCACTAAAAGCATCATCGAAACGAGGGCTACACAGGGAGAACCTTATTTCATCTCTAATTTTTCAACTACATGTGCTTCCAATATTATCCGGTGCACTTATCGTATCACAATGTGTACTTACCATGTTATTGCATATATTTCCTTTTGCTAGTGTGTATTTTCGTTTTAATTTCTTTTATAAAGCCATGGATTTGTTTTCCGAAATAAGGAACATAGTTAATATTTGTGAACATTTAAAAACAAAAATATTTTTAAAGTATTGTGAACATGTTAGAAAATTGAACGTTTTTAAAAATCTGTGAGCATTTTTTAGAATTCGCAAACAATTTTAAAGTTCACAAAAAAAATTCTCAAATTCGCGACCTTTTTTATAATCGCGAACTTTTTCCAAAAATAATGAACACCTTTTAAAATAAGTGAATACTCTTTAAATTTTGGGAGAAACATTTCCTCAAATAGTACATGTTTTCATTTCTTAATATATATTTTTGCCTTAGGAAACCGTTGTAAGCCTGATAGAAAATAGAGAAAACCGCAAAAGGAAAAGAACAGCAGAACCGGCTAACACTCGTAGCCCGCGAAGCAGGCCGGGCCCTGACGCTTTTGCGTGTGCGTTTTGGCAGCAGTTTATCGCTTAGAGTGTAGAATAGGGAAATGTAACAAGATTCCCTCAAAACAAGGGCAAATGTAAGGAGATATTTTTAGGAAAGTGCATGAATGAACCCGGATACATATGAACCCACTTCAGAAAACATAATTCTAAATGCTAAAAAAATAATCTGAAAATTGTTGCACGGATTCGTCTTCATGTTTTATTTGTGTACATAAAGTTTCACGGAAAAATCAAAGCCCTGGAAACTCGTGTCCGGCTTATATTCCCATCCATCCGGACAGAGCACTGTTTTTGTTGATAAATATCAGATTCAAGAGGTCTTTTGAGTGTCTTTTCCTTGCAGAAAAAGGTCTCCGGTGAGCTCTACCCAGTGACGGAGACAGGCCTGGGGCAGCTAGGGCTATAGCCCCAGGCCTAGAAACAACTTCCTTTATAATTTCTTCATACAAAGCATAGAAAACCATAGAAGTTTATCACTCAACATAGCACAGCCCCAGACGTAGTCTGCATCTAGCTCCGCCACTGGCTCTACCAACTACACTCAAATGTGCTCCCTGATTCGCGTACTATTGTTATATAGTATATTTACGTAAGCTCATGCATCATAAACACACACCAGTTCTTAGAGTGCGTAGTTACGTAAGCTCATGCATCATAAACACACACCAGTTCTTCGTTTGGTAAGAACAAGATATGTCAGTCCCTACACAGCCGGGCCGGAGATGATATATCTTGAGCTGTGCAAGTAGAGTACGAGCGATCTGCAGATCAATTATTATTATCTTGAGCCTGTGCAAGTACTACACACACCGTGCATGCATCATGCATGCTTCTGCTCCGACACAACACGCTGCATTCAAGATGTGGCGCCGAGATTCGCGTCGGTCACCGGCACGCTACCTTTGCCCATCGCATCACCATTATTTACCTCATTACACGCATGCACAGGGTTGTATACTACGTACATTTGCTCGTTCGGGATTGGAGAATCATTTGTCTATGCTGGACTTTCGAAAGTGTACATTTGTCTATGCTCAGTGAGGACCGACCTCTCACTGTCTCCGTCACTGGCCGAGGGCATCGCTGCTGCACGCGCATCGCAGCTGCATGCTCGACTGACCATCGTCTCATCACCGCATTGAAACATTTTTTTTAAACCCGTGTAAAAGCTGAGGAACCTACTCTGTTTACGCGTCGGTTTACGATCGGATCAGCATTAAACGCAAACACAATGCCGGGCAAGCTTATTCCTTTAGCCCTCCATTTAAACGAGGTCAAACGACGGACAAAATCGCATCATCAAGTTCGCCGCTCCCCATCTTCTCCTTCCATCATTTTCTCCACTCTTTCAATGGCTTCTGACGAGCATGAAGAGCAGCTCTCCGGCATAAAAGCTGGCTGGATGGCCCGCCGAGCCTGCCGGATACGAGCGAGGAAACTCGCTGCTCTACCTCCCTCGCCTAGCCTGATGGAGCCAGTTGCCGCCCCAAGTCGGCGCGTGGTTCAGCAACTCGTAGCTACAGGCCAGCTCAAGGAGGAGTGGCGAGTTGCTCCACGCTAGCACGGCAGCACGAGCATCGTTCGCTGCCGTCGTCCCGCGTCTCCCGTGTTTGCGGCCGCGCCATGCAGGCAGGGACATAATCTAGGTGCGCAGAGGTCGACGAGTCGCTGGCCAGTGCGTCCGTGTTCGCCGCCATCATAGAGGAATAGTAGAACACGGGAGGCCGCCATTGCTTGGGTCCCAGGAAGGCCACCGTCGAGGCACCGCTGGCGTACACAACCGGTGTCTTGCCTTCTCGCGGGCTACCGACGTCCCCTTACCCAAGAACCAACTTTGGTCCGTGCAGCGTAGGGACCCTTCCCCTTCGACAGAAGCATCAGGCGACGGTTCCACTCCGATGAGCGGTGGGAAAGCGAGCCTTCCTTTGCGTTGAAGCTTATACCTTCGGTGCTCACCGCTGCCGGTCATGAGGACGAGTTGGAGACCTGTCGCGCCGACCATAGACTAGTCCGGTTTGTTTTTAGTTGAAAATATGTTCAAAATGTAACCGTTTTCGTCCGGTTTGTATGAAACCCGTCATGTTTATATGAAATCCGTCGACTTTGCAATTTCATCTGGTTTGTTGATTTTTTTTTTGAAATGTATGCGGCTAGTGTTGGATGACGACCCTTCAACATTCGATCCGCGGACTGGTCCTCCCTGTGCGTGGATGGATGCAGGAGGAAAATTACGAGTGGTCGTTGGAGATGCCCTAAGATACCTTTTTGAGTATTACTTTTCTCAACAAAGAAAGAAAACTATCCGGTAAACTCTACCTACTTGCCTTTCCCTGATCTGCGTATACTATGTTATAATTTTTTGCGGGGTTACTATTGTTATAAATATGGTCGTACAGAACTCAGTATACCCATTATCGGATTGGGGTGCCATATCTTTGCGTGTCCAATCAACTTGGAGAGGGCGCGTAGTTATACGTAAGCTCATGCATACTAAAACATGCATATTCCGTGGTTTGGTAAGATATGTCAGTAGCAGGAGATGATGCATACGGATACATCACGTGCCAACTTACATCCCCTCTCAGTAAAAAAACCAAGACACAACATCAAATCACTAACTGATCACAATTAGTACTCCCTCTGTCCCAAAATATAAGAATGTTTTTAACATTACAGCAATGTCAAAAACGTTTTTATATTATGGACGAAGGGAGTACTGATCAATCTGAATTTAGCGTTAATCAACTCTAGCTAGCCGACGTGGATGATACACAAGCCGCTCGCATAGCAAACAAAAGTGTATTTGTTCCGTCCTTGCTTGAACTAAGCATGCGATCAACTTGCATGGAAACTCGCAACTTGCAGGTGTATATTATACTCCGTATAACCGGTCATTTTCGTCCAAGCGATCAATTATTTGAGCGGTGTGCAAGTACACATACTGTGTATGCTTCTGTTCCGACATAATACATCACATTCAAATCGAGATTCACGTCGGTCACCGGCACGCTTGGCATGCTTGCCCACCACATCACCATAATAACCATTAATATGATGATGTCGGTCTAAAATTATACTTTAGCGCAATGGCTTCCGATCGCCATACTTTATGGAGCTCGCTTCATCAACGACCTCGTAGCCTTCAATTTTGTAGGCCGGAAATATCGAGTATGAAATTTGCTCCAAAGCCTGACCGCCAGTGTGGGAAGGAAGTCGAAAAACCGGGTAAGTTTCATCCAAAACCAGATTTTGACCATGTGGCCAGTTTGACCGCCACGTAATCTGCCCTTGATGAAGAGTAAATTTGAAAAAAAATAGATAAGAAAATACAAAAATCTATTTTTTTGGCATCTAATACGCTTGGGCAAGGTGTGTGCAAAATTTCGTAGTGTCTGGAAACTCAAGGAGCTCATGGCCAAAAAACAATAAATCTACTTAGGTGAACAGTGAATTTTAAAAAATGCAAACCATTTTAAAGAAAATCTAAAACATTTTGGAACCCAAGATACTAGGTGTGCTATGCCCATGCAATTTTTTGTTGTCAAATATTCAAGGAGCTCTAGCAAAAAAAAGTTGGCTCAAATTTGCTCTCTTTTTTGCCACGAGCTTCTCGAATTTCCAAACACGAGGAATTGTGCATTGGAACATCTTGAATGCAAAAGATATTAAGATGTTTTCTTTTTTCTGTCTTTCCATATTTTTTTGAATTTATTCTTCATCTAGACTAGATCTTTTTGCCATGAGGTCCTCGAGTGTCCAAAGACCATGAGATTTTGCACGCACCTTGCACACTTGAAGATATCGGATACCAAAACAATTCAGATTCTGTTCACCAAGAGCAGATTACGTGGTGGTCATATCCAGTCAACATGTTCAAAATATGGTTTTGGACGAAATTTATCCTGTTTCGAGACTTGATGAAGGACCAAATGTCTATCAAGATATCTTGAGGGGCAAAGTCTATACTTTTGGGAACTTGTCGGAACAAAAACACACTTTTCTCATTATTCTATGGCCTGATGCACTCGTTGCATCATGCGCGCGTGACGAGAAGTAATTTATTTGCATGGCGAGACAGTTTTGCCGTGATCCCTGCACGAAATTTGCCGTGATCTCTGCACGAAATTTGCCGTGACGGACACTCTGCCAGCATGTTTGAACGAAGCGCTTCGTGTGTCTTGCACCTTGACCTCTCCCGGAGCCCCTATCACGTGGCTGCAGGCAACGCCGCCTCTAGCTTGCCAACAATGTCCTCCGCCGTGACGCTGAAGCCGTCGTCCACCTGACAAGATAACAATGTCGTTCCATCCGTCAGTTGGTGTCCAAATAAAGTTTTCTCAGTTCAGTTCTGTTGCATTTCAACCACAACTATTAATGTAAGGATAAACATGATTTGCTTTTGCCGCAAAAAAAAAACATGCTTTGCTTTTGCCACACAAAAAAAACATGCTTTGCTTCTCCTATTTTATTTAACTGAAACCACAATGTCAGTCTAGGAGTACAAACCATGAAAGAAAAACAAAATGATAAATCCCGAGCGTTCGGAATTGCCGTGTTTGTCAACTAAATTTGTCACCCCTCGCGTATATCAATTGTCATAGAAAACATTTCATTTGCAATCGGCAAATCTCGAATGCTTGGGATTTATCGGCGTCCCAGAAAAAACAAGCAGAAAATACAGAACACTCACTAGAAACTCAGTGAAACAATTGCTGGTAGAGAATTGTGTAAAATACAGTAAAAGAACTTCTGTCCAAAGACGATGTAATCGAAGCCGCAACGGTAGAACGAAATTTCCTCGTGGGCAGCAGATTGTTGGGAGTAACTTGCCTTTGCAGTAACTGTTATGATCAGAGTGCAAGCGGGGAACGGGATGGCATTGGCGTGGGTGATGCTCAGGTGTAGCCCCTCCACCTCGGCGAGCAGCCTGACGAGCACCCCCTTGGCGTCCTCGCAGTGGATCCTCACCATCACGTCGCTCTCCGAGATCCTCGCCTCGATCTCCGGCAGCGCGCTCCCGGTCGTCGTCGCCGTCGTGCTTCCGGCTACCGCCCCTGCAGATGGTGACGGGCACCAGCCGCCGACGTCATCGTCTTCCGGCACGGCGGCGCGCGACTTCTTGACGAGCACCACCAAGTCAACGGCGGCGCTCCTGCGGTTGCGGTCCTCGAGCGCCCTGAGCTTCTCCTGCTGCTCCTTGACGTACCTCACGGCGTCCGACAGGATCGTCGCCTTGTCCATCTGAGCGAGTTAATTAGTTGGCCAATGAATCAGTTGACAAATTTCCCTTGTTGGATACTGTATGGATGTGGAAGAAGAGGCGCGGACGCGGACCTTCTTGAGGCCGGGGATGACGGTGGAGAGCTCGATGAACCGCCGGTTGATCTTCTCCCGGCGCTTCCGCTCCGCCATGATGTGGTCCTGCGCGTACGGCGCGTGCCCGGCCCTGGCGGCGCTCTTGGCGGAGGCTCTCCTCGACGGCGGCGACACGTGGGCCTGCTCCACCACGCCGGGGCCGTCGAGCGCTCTAGCTGAGGGAGCGGTGGCGGGGCTTGGCGCCGCCTCGTTGCTCGGCTGCGCCACGGCCGAGGTGAAGTTCCAGCTCATGGGCAGGTAGTTGTTGCTGCTGCCGACGCTGCAGGTCGTCGCGCAGTTGGCGTCGTTCTCCACGACCGCGGCAGACGTGTTTTCATGGCCGCTGTCGCCAGAGCTCCAGCTATCGGTGGCTAAGTGACGGTGGCCATCTTGCACCGCCATTCCCGCCGGAGCCGTGCCGTGCTGCAACGCCGAGCGGCGGAGCTCTTCCAGTGATGGGAAGTTGTCGCCGGCGGCGTAGGCAGCGGCGAGCGGCGGGTGCTCGTGCTGCAGCGTGTCCACGGCCCACTGCATGAACAAGCTGGAGTCGTCCATGGTCTCCAGATGATACATACTGCTTCTAGCTAGCACCTGAAGGAGCTGCGCGCACCAAAGAAATCACATGAAAATGCAGAGCTTGGACAGCTCTATTTATCTAGGGGTAGCCGGACGCGACCGGCGGCCACTTGCTGCGAGCTCAAAAGGCAGGGGAGGGCGGTGCAAGAAGACGACGGAGCGGCAACCGCAGACAATTACCTCGCGAGAAGAAGACGGGGAGCCCGGCTGCGAGCAAATGATTGCATGGAGACGTAGCAAGAGCAAGCCATCCGAATCAGCTGAAATTTGGGCGCGTCCTGTCCCAATCCAGCCTCACGCTTTTATGCCGTTCTCCATGGATGTATGTTATGGCGTGTCACATTTATAGATAGCTCCAGCAGGTCGTGGTAGAGCCAGGTCATCGCCACGTCTTATCTAATTTGCATACATGTTGTTAATTTTTTTTAATATCAGTACAGACACAAGCGCTCATATACATGTGCATACATTCACCCCTATGAACATCTTCGAAAGACTGAGCCGGCATATCATCTTGAAATTTACGAAGTCACCGTAGACACCTCGTCGTCGACGGGAACGTCTCCTCCCACTGAATGCGCATCGCCGGAAATCCTGAAATAAATCCAGAAATAAATGCGAGCATCGGGATTTGAACCCTGATGGGCTGGGAATACCACAATCCCTCTAACCATCCAATCACAGGTTGGTTCGCATACATGTTGTTAATTTTACCCGCAAAAAAGTTATAAAAAATTCGGTAGCTATTTTCATCAATAGGACATGTGGACAAGGTACTTTCTCATGGAGATTGACGAATTCATCACAAACATCGGTAGGCTATGGATTTAAAGAATACTCCGCCTTGATGCAACACACATATTAAAACATATGATTTGATCCCTGATAGACATGGGATACAATCGCCCTTCTAACCATCGGATCACGTATTGGTTCTCATGTCGATGCGATGCTCCATTGTCAGTGTGATTGATGTCGTTATGCTAGGTTTCAGTTAAGTGACATAACATATAAGAATGAAAAATAATTCACATACTATTTTGTAAGATATCACGAATATAGCATCGGCTGACACATAATCAAGTCTAAGTCTACCGAGGTTTAGCAAGACTGATTATGTTAGCTCCTGACAAGTTGCAAGTTCTCCGTACAACGGCTTGCTTTTATATCAAAATGCACTCGATCGTGGCAAAGATAGAGGGGCCGCGTGCACATGCACTACTATTCTGGACGTCAAATAGCGTACCTTTTTCATGGAAAAAAGGACAGAGGTAGACTAGTCTCTACTACCTAAAAAAACGCAACGTTCCGTTTCCCCTCTTACCTTGGTCCGACGCCAGATTTTCCCTCGTCGCTCGTGGCTCCTCGATCGTCCGCACATGGGCCAAAGGCCAAAGCCCAGCCCGAGCGAGCCAGCCTACGCGCACAAGCACACGCACTCCCCTCCTTCTATAGTACATGTGCGAGGTGAAAGGGAAGCGACTGATTTTTCCCGTCGATCCGCCGGCGCCGCCGCTGGTTTCCCTCCCCTCCGCCGGCTGCTTCGGCGGCGGGAGGGTGGGGAAACCTCGGATCCGCACGTCCGGTGTGTAAATAGCTTGTTTTGCCTGATCGTCGTCAGTGCTATGGGGGTGGCGGCGGCGGCGACATGTTTCGTCCCACAGCTTTCCCCATGGCGATGCTCTCCTCCGGTGTGGCGTCGTCGAGCTCGTGGGTGGTGGTGGTTGTCCGGCCGGGGGTCGGCTGCCTGTCCGACGTGCTCCTGGTGGTGGCGGCTTACGGTGAGGTCGCCGTTGCCGAAGGATTTTTGGTCACTCGTTCCTTCTCCGTCCAATAAATCTTTGCTTGTTGTTGATTTGTTGGGGACTGGGCGGCGTGTATCTCCTGATGATCTACGGATCGAGCGGTGTCTCGGCCTTCCCCTCCGATGGTGGCGCCGTCGGATGGAGAAGTGATTTTGGTCCTCACGAATCTGTAGATCCCGCGAGTTCTTGGATTCTCAGGCAGGGCGGTGTGGCGGCTTCGCCGTCCTGGCGATGTGAGTATCTATCTCCCCCTCCTCTTTGTTGTTGCGCCGGCGAAGTATCCATCAGTGGCGTGGAGGTGGGGTCCTGGAGTGTAGGAGGTGTTTGGTTGAGCTGCAGGTTTGATTCCCTCTCAAGAGATGCTGGTCGTCTTCTTCCTCTCCGGTTCCGTTCGGAGAGTGTCGTTCTCTCGGAGTATGCTGATGCCGTTGTTGGCTCTTGGTGTCGCCGCCGATATGCGTTCATCGACTTCAGATCCCACCCGGCGTCGGGTGGCTCATGCGGCTTCAAAAACTTTATGGCGGGGGTTCCTGTACCCCTGAGGCGGCCTGTGGGCATGGCGTCTTCTCCAGCTTCGGTGAGCTCCGGCGATGGCGACGTGGTCTGCGCGTGTTCAGGCGATGAGTGTTTCGGTGGCCGGCTGTGCTTTTCTGTTGTATTTTCTTTCTGTTCAGAGGGTGTCTGTGTAATATTGTGCTATGAATAGAGCAGCTCTTTGTCTCAAAAAAAAGCACACGCACTCCTTCCTCCTCACGGCCTCAAATGGGCGACGCTAGGGTTTCGCCCAGCCCCAGCCTCGACCACTGCTCGACCTCGGCGACCGCCGCTCCTTGGCTCCGCGGCCGCCGCTAGACATCCACGGCCGTGCCTTGACCTCCTTGGCTCCTCTGCCGCCACTCGACCTCCTTAGCTCCTCGGTCGCCGCTCGACCTCCACCACCACGCTTCGCCAACACTTGCTTCCCCGTATCCGGCCCTTCATTGATATGGACTCGTGCTCCTCAGCCCTCATGGTGTTGTGCTACACGCGTGCTCCGCGGCCCCTCCTCCACGGTGTCATACAGAAAGGACGAGGGCGAGTCCTGGTTACTGACGTGTGTGGGTGTGGATGTGGGTAAGATTTTCATTGATTTCTTCTCCGTTGGAAATTGTCCAACCATTATTGATTTGACGTTTCAATTTTTCTTGTTGTTTTCACTGAATGAATTACAGGAACACACCTATCATATGCCCTAGCAGTGCAAGCCTGAACACATGTCATATGTTGGAGTAGATGCAAGTATATGAATGATGAATGGGTGCTGCCTTAAATCATCAGCACATTAGTGGTGCCCGATCAAAGTCAAACGCTCGCCCTGGACAAAACCCCGTTCGCCAAAGTGGTTACGCCGAGCTGTAGTTGCTGGGCGCCCATCTAGCCGCTCTGCTGGGTGTGGCGTCACTCCTGTCCCCGGCAACATGTACTTCTCTACCAGACAAATTAACTTAGATTGGGTTGCTGCAAGAGTTTTTATTGTTGATTTCGAATGTTTTGTAAGGAGAAAGGTTAGTAAATGATGTTGTTTTCTACAATGCAAATTCAGTCGTCGGCTTTGCTATTGAGTGCCAAGGTGTAGATTCAGAACTGCGGGGTTCAACATAGAGGGCTTCACTACAATATTTTCGCCATGCGGTTGATGGTTGTGAACGGCCTAAATAACACGGCCAATGAGTGGACGCTTCGTCGAATATTTTTGATCTATGCAACACTGGATCAATTACACATCCATCCACCCAACTTCAGTTTTGATATATTTGATGCATAATGCACAATGAATCTTACTTATGTTGAAAAACTTAGACATATAAGAATGTCTGCAAGCAAACCACGTACCACACATTTTAGAAGGTTTATTTTTCTACATTTCTATTTTTCTCTACATTTGTACTAGCTATGTATCAATAAGTATTTCTACATTTTTTATTTGATGCCAAATTTTAAGGAACGCTAATCTGATGTACTTTTACAGTAATCAGCATGTTGACTTGGCGCTTGCCCGTTCGCAACATACCTTCGTATTGTCGAAGGGTTGGATGATTGTAAACCGGATGTACCATTAATGACAATGGTGTGGATGGATTGGGGAGACAAAGAATACGGGAGGACAAAGAAGTAGGATGATTTAAAGGTTAAAAACATCAACAATGCTATTTGATGTGCAGGAGGATCCTAAACAAAACACAATTAATGTGAAACCAATTGAATATTCAGGCCTCCGGTGCAACGCACGGGCAATTACCTATCACTGTAAATGCGATCAGTGCGTGAGTAGGCTCCCTTATTATTCCTTTTGTACAATCACAAGCAGACAAGGTCATCAGACCCTATTGTTTATCAAGTGGCTGAGCTTGACGGAAAATGTTACGGGTACAGGAAAACAACCTATGCATGCTTAACCTTTACTTTTTTTTCTCGGTGTTTTTAATCCTAATATGTCACAAAATTAGCCAAGTTACGGCCGTCATGAGATTTTTTAAAGGTCAAACGTCATATATTATCGTCGATCAGCGCTTACAAGAGCATCATTGTAGAAATTAAAAGTTACACTGAGATCCTTGGGGAAATCGACGAAGTCTTCCTTCTGCACTCGACAGCTATGCATCATGAGTGAAGCTAGACGCCATCTCTGGACCTCTGAAACATGATCAGAGTAAGGGAAGTGTTGTCGCAGCCGAGAAGTCAACGATCGAAACTAGAAGACACCGACAACAACAATATGAGAAATAGTTCGCGTCTCGGAGAATAAGGTTGGACGGCCACTCTGAATCCATCTAGATAGATCCGGGGAGACCTAACCTCGCAAGCTCGCCAACGGTAGTAAAGTTGGCTGGTTGTCGCTTGTTGAAGAAGGAGCTCGAGGAGCAAGGCATGAAAAAGTGTCGCCACCCACTCCGCCGGCTCCAGCAGGGGAGCCGTCGTTTGGTTATCCAAGGACCTTGACGTAATTTTATTACGTTGAGGCTGCTTTGCACGTATTATGAACTTTTATAATAGATTCAAACCCTTCTTCACAACAAAAGACAAACCACCGTTGTTTTCCGCCAACAACAACAAATACACTTTCTAGATGCTCACTCAAAATCAAAACAAGAAGGCTCATTAATTTCCCATTCTCTCCAAAGGCCACCAAAAGGGAATACAAAAATATTTCAT